CATGTCTTTCATGGTGAGAATGGGCTCCTTGGGCATTGCAGCAGGCTGGCTGCACAGTAGAGCAACAATTGGGCAGCCTTAAACCTGTGAGGTCTTGGAATTTTTTGTAATGGTATCTGCTTCTGACCTTTACAGTTTGACTAGTCAATTCCATACCACAGCTCCCTCCTTCCTGCCTTATAGTTATCTCCTTCTCAAATTAGTGTTTGTATTGTCAGCTCTTTTGTCCTTCTCCTCTGGAAATTTTAGTGTATCACTTGAGTTACTGTTCAAAGTCTGCTGGGGCTGCTGACATCACATACAAGATGGTGGTGCCCAGCAGCAGTCTCAGGGCTTTTGGATGTCTACATAAAGGAGGCTTTAACAGATAAATACTATGTTTATAAGATATTAAAAAGACATATAATATAATTTTATGGTAATATTAAGGAGACCAGGTCTCTTTAAGTAAGATAGAACAGATTGCTACATAAATTGTTACTAAAGACCAATATTGTAAATGCAGTATAAATAGCAAATGAAAGTGGTTCTAAACTCTAAAGGTTTTTTTTATTTTTACCTTAATGCATTCTTTGCATTAGGGCAAAAAAACCTTCAAATACTAGTTTGCTAAATTCTCTAACACTTACCTGACTCCTACATCGATCCAGTGCTGTTTCTGGCTGCAGGTCTTCTCTCCCCTTCTTCTTGCTCTCACAGGCTTTGCTGAGATCAGTGGGAGCCATTGGCTCCTGCTGCTGTCAGTCAAATCCTATGAAGAAAGATCTGTGGGTGGACTGTGCTTAGCTTGGGAGCAAGCCTGCAAATGTGCCCCCATAGCATGCTGTTGGGTCACACACACAAGTGGAGGAGTGGACAGCACCAATGGGGAACCCAAGACAAAGGGGTAAGGTGCCATTTTAGAGAGCAGGTAAGTATAAACTTCTTTTTTTAAATTTAATAAAAAAAAAATAAAGACTTACAGTCACTTTGACTACAAAAGAGAATTTAATATTAGTCACTATTCTACATCCATGTGGGGCTTTATAATTACCCAACATAATACCTCAAAGGACCATTCTTTTAATTGGTTGCTTTATAAATATAGTGTGATAAAGATATACTGGAAAAAGGGAAGCCATCTGAGCATTGTGAGGTAGGTTTCTGAACATGAAAAATTTATAACATGGCTTCATTGCAAATAGTATGTGACACAATGCTAAAGTAAGTAGGTATTATTTAATGCCTGTGGTACAGTTAAGCAATTTAGATGCATATTATATCAAAAAGGAATTGTTATCATTACTTGCATTCAAATGTGGACAATCTTCATTCTAATATTCTGAGAGGTCTACATTTGCACATTTTGGGATACAATGATGGTAAGGAAAGTTTTGAATATTACCTACCTGCACTGTCAGCACTGGAAAACGCTGCAGATTATAGAATGAAATATCTGTACATTTGTTTTCTTCTTTCTCCTGCAATTAGTACCGCAGGACAGATGAGAAATGGCAGTGGAATCTGAAAACCTTTAGTCTCTATTCACCAAGCTTAAGCGTTAAATTCTGCAAAAGAACAATCCTTATTTTCAAAAGAGACTTTTATTTTCATTTGAGTCCATTGAGATTTGAAAATTACAGTCACATGGTTAAAAATAAAGACACTTCTACTTGTGTAAAGATTTGTGATTCTAGCTTTTTAAGTGTTGTGAGTAATGGAAAGTGTATTTATGTGATCTAGATATTTTATTAAGGCAAGGCCATAGATATACATACATAGTAATGTTATCCACAAAAAAGCATTAAAGCCATAGTAAACTGGCCAAAAAAAACTGCCCCCCTGCATGTTTATGCCATAATGTGCTAGTATTTAGTATGTACCACACACTAGCACATTATGACAAACTTACCTTTCAAACGAAGCCCTCCAGCGGTGCGCTGTCACTGCTGCCGTGGCTTCTATCTTCACCCAGTCTTTCATCTAGGTTTCACGTTCTCCGGCCGTTTGAATGGCAAGACCCAATGACCTCACTCCTGGCCATGTGCTTGGGAGCAGCACGGTGCATTCCACAGCACACTGTGTGCCCTGAATGAAGAGCGCCACTGCACATGCACAGGTGACATCATCAGCTATTGATGATGGGAATATTTCCTCCACGTTTTGGAGACATCCATTGTACCTACAGGTAAGCTTACAATCAGGCTCAAGTTCAAATAGAAAGTTAACTACCACTTTTTAGGCACATTAAAGTTTACTTTACCCCTTCATGCTGCCGCCTTCTGGCCCTTTAGGAGTTTCTGAATGCTGGGAGGCAGAGGCGAGCGTTCTGATTATGTGACCACTGTGATTGGGTAGTCACAGAGGTCACATGATTGGAAAGCGTCTGATCGTAAGCAGCCATCAGGTACCTGCCGGTAACTGTGCTGGGAGTGCGTGCTCTCAGCAGAGAAATGTTTACATTTGGGATACATACTATATGCGGCCTCTTGGAGTTAAAACCCACCTGCGAAGAGGCCAAATTTTTGTCTACGGCTGGCAGGAAGAGGTTAAGGTATGCTGAACTGACCACCCAACTAGTATTACCATATGTCATTTTTTAACATGCCATAAATGTTGTTTAGCATTCCTTGTGTAGTATTGGAGCTTGAAGAATTGTTTATACTCTTGATAAATGACATTTACTCTTTTATATAGATTTTGATATAGCTGATGCCGCAAACAACCATGACTTTCAGAAATAGTACACATGTGACAGAATTTATCCTCTCTGGTCTCTGCTCGGACCCAAACCTTCAGCTGCCTCTCTTTCTACTCTGCTTCTCAGTGTACGTGGTGACTCTGCTCGGAAACTTCATGTTAGTTTTGGTCATTTTTGTGACTCCTATTCTTCAAATACCAATGTACACTTTTCTAATGAATTTATCCCTTATAGATATCATTTATTCATCAGCTATTACCCCAAATGTTATGGCCAATATCTTCTCTATAAACAAGACAATCACCATCACTGGATGTGCCACACAAATGTTTCTTTTTATTGATCTTGCAGGCTCTGAAGTCATGTTACTGCCTGTCATGGCCTATGACCGCTATGTAGCCATATGTAAGCCATTGTATTATGCCAGGCTTATCAACAGAACAACCTTTTTTCAGCTCCTATCCTCAATATATACAGCAGGATTTGTGAATTCATTAATACACACATGTTGTGCATTTACGTTACCATTCTGCAAGTCAAATCGAATTAATCATTTCTTCTGTGATATCAATCCTATCCTAAAATTGTCATGTAAAGATACCTTTGTTAATCAAATGTTGGCATTTGTTGTTGCTGGATCCTTGGAAGTGGGCTCTTTCTTATGTATAATGACATCATATATCTGTATTTTACGTGCTATATGCAGAATTGGCTCTTCTAGAAGGAGCAAGCCACTGTCTACCTGTGCCTCTCACTTTACATGTGTGGCATTGTTTTACTGTCCAGTTTTCTTCACCTACCTACGTCCAAATTCAGCCTACTCGGTGGACCAGGACTGGGTGGTGTCTGTGTTCTATACACTGATCATTCCAATGTTAAATCCCATCATCTATAGCTTGAGGAACCAAGATGTAAAACAAGCTCTCACTAAACTGATGGCATCCACCATGCTCCCCTGATCCCCTGATCCAGTACTACTGCAGCAGCTCCCTCACAGTTAAAGTGGTTGTAAATGCAGACTCTTTTTTACTGGAATGCATTCTCTGCATTAAGGTGCAAAAACCTTCTGCATGCACCTCCCCAAGCAGCCTGTCCTTATACTTACCTGAGTCCGATCTCAATCCAGAAATGTGTACAGGAGTAGAGGCTCTCTTGGTCCTCTCCCTCCTCATTGGTTCAGACACAGAACAGGAAGCCATTGGCTCCTGCTGTCTTCAATCACATCCAGTGAGTGGGGGGTGGGGGGGGCAAAGCCACACTCTGTTAGTCTTATGTACACTCGGAGTGTGGCTCAGGAGTAAGCACGCATGAGTGCTCCCATAAGAAGTGGCTTGCTATGGGGGCACTTTGCGGGGGGAGGAGCCAGTGGCAGCAGTGGGGGAACCTGAGAAGAGTAGGATCAGGGCTGCTCTGTGCAAAACCATTCCACAGAGCAGGTAAGTATTTAAATTAAAAAAAATCTAGCATTTACAATCACTTCAACCCTTGTTGAAGTTATTTTTTAGGAGGAGGACCTTGGAAAGCATTAAGACCCTTGGATTTTCTATTATTTTTTATATTAAAATGGTCAGCACAGGGGGAGTTTGTGTTCATCACTAATAAAATAATTTTGAAACTGTCATAATGATTTTTGGTACACTACAGTGAATGGGTTAGGGGTTCAGTGTTCCCTATTGTGGTGTAGCAACATATCTGACCCCGTGGAAGTCTAAGTAAGTTGTAGATAGTTTTCCCTATGTCTACCTACTTAACAACAGAGGTGCAGAAAATCCTGGTACCTGTCAATATCAGTTTGGTTTGAATGAGATGCCCTAAGTTTTCATGGAAGATCTTTTAAAGCACCTGCTGGGTTCTCAGGGGCATGTTGTTCGTATGCCTTATCGTTTATGTCTGTTTTAGTATGAGTGAACCCAAGATCAAAAAAATAATATATTGCCGCTCATCTTGAATGTGATGGCTGCATTAGTTTTCATTTTCCTGGCTAAGAATAATTTTAGCTACTCCAGAAAATTCCTATGTGTGCATTCACAGTGTCGCTCAAGGTCAGTCTGCCTTTGCCTGCTGTAAATGAGTACCATATTTTCCGGCGTATAAGGCGACTGGGTGTATAAGACGACCCCCTAATTTTCCAGTTAAAACATAGGTTTTGGGCTATACTCGTTGTATAAGACTACCCCCCTTCTGAGGCAACACCATTTAACCCCTAGCCTACAGGGCACTTATACCCACTTCCCCCCGAGGCCAATTTTCAGCTTTCAGCACTGTCACACTTTGAATGACAATTGCGTGGTCATGCAACACTGTACCCATATGAAATAGGTGGCACTGATGGGCACTGATGAGGAGGCACTGGTAGGTGGCACTGATGGGCATTGACAGGCATCACTGATGGGCGCTGAAAGGCAGCACTGATACATGGCACTGATAGGCGGCACTGACTGGCACTGTTAGGTGGCACTGACTGGCACTATTAGGCGGCACTGACTGGCACTGATAGGTGGCACTAATTGGCAGCACTGATGGGCATTGACTGGCATCACTGCTGGGCACTGAAAGGAAGCACTGATACATGGCACTGATAGGTGGCACTGACTGGCACTAATAGGTGGCACTGATTGGCAGCACTGATGGGTTACACTGAAAGGCAGCTCAGATGGGCACTGATATGTGGCATTGATGTGCACTGGTAGGCACTGATATGTGGCATTGATGTGGCACTGATGGACACTGACAGCTGGCACTGCTGGGGCTACACTGATCATCAGGGCACACTGATCATCAGTGCCCTGATGATCAGTGTACATGTCCCCTCCGCGGAAAGCCGATTACCGGCTCTCCTCTCCTCACGAGCTGTCAGTGTGACAGCTCGAGAGGAGAGAAATGCCGATAACCGGCATTTCCCTGTTTACATGTGATCAGCTGTGATTGGACACAGCTGATCACATGACCGAGCCAACATCTTCGGCTCTTTCAGTGATCGGTGATAGCTGTGTCCGAGGGACACAGCTCATCGCCGCGCATGTGCGGAGAATGAGAGGACGTCATATGAGCCAATCACGGCAAGTGATGTATTCTATTAATGAATACAGAGCCTGCTCGGATTGGCTGTGTCAGAGAGGCGGGCTGATGATGTCACAACTTCAGCCAATCCGAGAAGGCTCTGTATTCATTAATAGAATAAATCGCTCGCCATGATTGGCTCAGCGCGGTACACTGTATGTAACTGAAGCTACCATACAGTATTACCGCACATCCAGCGTTCTATACCCGGCGTATAAGACGACCCCCAATTGTTGGGGTATGTTTTTAAGTAAAAAAAGTCATCTTATACCCCGGAAAATACGGTACTCATCATCATCATCATTGAGAGTCTATTCAAAGCCAAAATGGGTGATTGCATGCCAGTAAAGTCTCTGCATGTAGTTTACAAGAAGCTATGTTGATTTCAGAGGGACTGCGAGTTCCTTGCCTGTAAGGGGCTGTTACTATTGATCCGCCAAGGCTGACAGCTTTCAAGGAAAAGAACAGTCCAAGATCTCTTTCTGTAAATAGGAAGGAAGTTGTCCCCGTGCTTTGATTCAGTTAAATTGGGCATCCTATAATGGACTGTTCACTGACTGTGGATGAAAGTATGGAAAATGTGTGTTGCCTGGCTATGCAGAGCTTAGGGGTACCAAGAAATACAGCAGCCCTCACAAGGGTAGTGCTATATAAAACATAAAAATAAAAAGATGGGGTAGAAAACATCAAAGAAACACACAGCTGGTGTCCTCTGCAGGGATTGATTCAGAAATTAAGTTTAAAGTCTTAAAATGGTGTTAAAGCACAAAACAAAAATGTAATATATTGCAGCTTACCAATTCTTAGACATGGTGGCTGCATTAGTTTTCTATTTTTAGGTATTTTTTACCTTTGTATTTACCTGGTGATCAAGCCAGTAAGACACCAACTGTCGTGTCTCCACTCTGGACAGGTGGGTAATGGCGCCAACTCTTCAAAAGCTAACTCCAGCTAACACCTTTTAAGTAGTCACAACAACATTTTCTTTTTCCTTTAGAGATAAAGGTTTTACATAACTGAGTAAACACTGATTATTGTGGGCATCCCTGTCAGTGTTAAATTGTTTGTTTCAATCCTCTAACTGCCACTTTTGCTCAACAGCATGGTCTGTTAGAGGAGGTTAAAAAACCAGACTTACTGGCCGGATCACTAGGTGAAAATAAAGGAAAAAAAAAAAAAACTAATGAAGTTACCACATCTAAGAATTGGTAAGTTGCAATATATTACATTTTTGTTGTTGGGTTTAATACTGCTTTAAATTTGTAAATTTTAAAATTGTTGGAAGATGAGATACATATCTGTCTACTGCAATATTATGATTTATTTTTATTATTAGTAGTAGTAGTAGTATTACATACATGATTTTTTATAATAATAAAAATGAAATAATAATAGTAATAATAATAATTATAATTTTTATGATACTTGTGAGTAGGGATAAGCCGGCAGTTTAGTCTAAATCTATTTTCAGACCAAACTTTGGCTGTTCAGGCATTTGGATAAATGCCCTAACTACTGCCCACCATGGATATATTTGGTCAAAATTGTCACCACCTCCCCTGACCCTTCCCTTACTGTATATAGCCGATGACAGCTTGGGGAGCTTCCTTTGGCTATGTGTACCACCAGAATTGGTTGTGTGTGCTAGGTAGTCAGGTTTTCTTTTCCAGCGAGTCTGAGAGTGATGGTCTGGTATGGATTTCCTGGGGAACCTTGTGCATTTTGTTTTACATGAGGTACCCCCTTAAAACTCATACCAGGCTCAAGGGGTCTGATTTGCATTTTGGGGGAAATAATGTGCAATTTTTTTTAATTCTTGCTAGAGGATGTACTACAGTAACAGTGATATTTACAAAGAGAAAAAAAATGATTCCGTTTAAAAAGTAATTCCACTTTTGTCTCTTGGTGATCAATAGGTATTGCAAGGATTTTAAGAAATGTTATAGCAATTGTATATGCTTTTATTTTTACTATTGCTACTTTGTGCAGAGTTACTGTACTCTTTAAATTGCTGGCAATGAAATTCATTGCCAGCTTCTTAAAAGAAATAAAACAGCACATAGACCAACTGCCCCCCCAAAATTCATAGTAAACCCTTGGAAGGGTCTGTGTGCTTTTTTTTGCATTTTAGGGCTTCCCACCTAATCTGGGAAGCTGTGGGCATGGTCTTGAAGGACGTTAGAAATAGTATGCATTACAACCACCTGGTGGCAGGGGTGGACTGACCATTAGTGTTTAGTTCAACCTCCTCAAGGAGAAGAGCTTGGAAGTATTAGGTAATCATATGGAAAAGTATACTGGAATATGGTCTTGCCATAGTTGAGAAACTATGTAGGCTTTTGGATCCATTTCTTCATGGGTCCAGAGAAGTCAGTGAATAGAAGAATGATTATGTATAGATCATTTTTGAGTCTATATTCATCTATTCCACACAAACTGGGTGTTCAGGCAGCAATGTTTTATTTGTATTTATACAATATTCACTCAAAAATACATATTGTATAGTAGAAATTTTGGATTATTTATTAACATGCAACTACTGTATTTTCATTTATTAGTGTTTGCTACCTACAGAGATGCAGGGTTGTGATGAGATATACATTTTCTCCCTCTAATTCCAATCTTTATTTGGTTTGGTAGAAGCAGATATGTGACAATACAGTATATTTGAGTAAGAGATAGAAGTAATCTATGACAGATTTGATACTTGGAGATACACAAATTGTGCTTACACATTAGCCAAAGTCAAAAGAGAAGAATGATGGAATATATATATATATATATATATATATATATATATATATATATATATTTATATTTTATTTATAAAACAGAAAAAAATACTGTAAGTATAGAAGAAACTTTTCTGTACAGAGCATTTTGAATTTTAGAAGATTGTAAAGATTGTAGAAAGATATATCCCAGTTCTCTCTGTAGTGACGCGCTGCATGTTGACATTTTAAAAGAGGGCTTTAAAGTGGTGTCTAAATGAACACCCCCACTTTGGGAAGATATCTATTCCCTAGATATTTTTGGCTGGAAAAAAACCTGGTTGCATTTTAATGGGAATTATACATGAGGACCCAAAGGATATCCTTGTTGCCATTACATTGTAAATTAAAGTAATGAAGTTAGGTCAATAAGTAATTCTAAAAGGTTCCCTGTTAGCTCATTCATGAGTTGCAAATACAGCTATGTAATTTATGTTATTACATGCAATCAGTGTCAAGTGCAGTACTTCATAGAATGGCATGTAGATTAAGAGATTGTTTTGGCAATTTCCTCTATATGGTATAATGAAAACAACCCTGCAAACTTTGAGAGACAATTCAATCAATGAATGCCATAATGGTGATACTTTTATGTTAAAAGTGAAGGGAATAGAAAAAATCATTTAAAAGAAGTACAGGTATGTTTTTGCATTTGTGCAAGAGGGAGGTGTACAGGATAATAATAATAATAATAATAATAATAATACTATATTAATAATAGACTTGATTTAGTTAATATACGTGATATATGCAATTATTTACACTATGTATTTATAAATTAATTGAAAATATTTTGAATGCCTACTAATAGCTTTGTGTAAGCATTGGTCTATAATATGCTATATTATATTGTGTTTATCAGTATAACAATTATTTTTTATGAACTGGCTTTCACCAAGAGATTGTATATACTGTAAGTAAAAAATATTTTAAAATAATGCTTCTAAAAAATAAACATTTTGTTAGGTCAGCCTTTGTTGATATACCAACATATGAGATTGTGGTTCTTTTATGTATAGTAGCTGAAATGAGAAGATCCTAATAAAAAAGGAGGGTCAGAGGGAATTGTTTAGTGTGTGAAGACTGGAAAGGATCACTCTATGATTAAGTTGCTATGAATGGAAAACACATAAGAGATATGTCCCTCTATGCATGTGATGTCAAGCTTTTAAATTAATAAAGTTAGAGTTTTCTGGTGTGCCAGCATCCATTGTTGCTTTGAATACAGAAAACACCTGTTGATCTTGTCAGAAACACAGTACTTGTCACTTTATGTAAGGAGAAATTTAAAAAAAAAACAGTCTTATCTTCCTTCTGTAAACTACTATTCCCCCCCACTCTCAATGTAATGGAGATGAACAGAGGAAGACATGTGTAAAGTCCAGCCTGAGTGACAGCCATGGGTTCCTCCACAGATACAGTGGAGTAGTAAGCATAGTGACCTTTGGACAGGAAGTGTGTTATTCTCAGGATTGCCAGGTAAAAATAAAGGAAAATAGGCTGAAAAAAAAGAAAACAAATGCAGTTACCTAATCTAAGGACTGATGAGCTGCAAAGATATTATTTGTTTTTGGGTTTAGGTATGATTTAACACTATCCCCGTAGTGTTTTGTTTGCTTGTGCAGAAGTACACAGAAAATATATTCAGCTTTGCTCTTTCTGCATAGTTCCTAAAGGTTTTTCAGTCTTTCATGGACAGTTTGGTTTCTTCAGAAGATTAGCATCATCCTCTACAAGCAATTAGCTGGGTGTCCTAAGCAGGCCTCACATGATAAGGAAGGATACAACCTCTGCTCATAGTGTAAGGTTTTGAAAGTTTGCTTGGAAGAGAAAAGTTACAAAGTAAAAGTAAAGATTAGAAAGAAGAGAAATTAGCACATGCAGAGATACAAATACTGGGCAAGTTTCAAGCTATGGACCTGACAACTTGATCAAATGGGAGACTTTAAAGTGCCAATCT